TGAAGACTCTAGCAGATTCTGAACAATGCGAGTTGCAGGTTGAGCTGTCTGGAAGATCCTCATGTCGTTGAAAAGATGAATCGTGATGAAGGAGAACTTGCGAACAGCCCTAGCTGTAGAGAAACGATATGTGTAAGTCCTCCAGGCACACTGCCTGATGTTCGGGTGCAGAGTGTCTCGAGCATGAATCTTCTGGCGATTCTCTTCATAGCGAGCCAGAAAAGGAGGGAACGGTGGAAGTTCTTCTGTAGATAAGCAGCCAGTATCAGAAGGAGTGGATGCAGCTGAAGTCTGACAGACCTGGTGTGGAAGGCAGATAAGCTTAGCTTGGGGATTAGACATTGGTAGATCTTAGAAGAGAACAACCAAACACTAGGGATTTTTCAACAGAGATCAGAGAAGAAAAAATCTATTAAGCCAAGAGAGAGAGAGAGACGAAAAAGATGAAACTGAGGGAACAGCTCAAGTTATGTCATAAATAGGCATCAACAACTCTCTTTTCCCTCGAGCCACAAGTCACTTTTCTTGCCTGCACACGCTACTTCAGACATGTGAGTTTTGACGAGACAAGCCCAATAAGCAAACAGATAAAGCCCATAACAGAAAGCCAAAACACAGACTAAGCAGCCTTAACAATCAGGCTAGTAAGACTCAATCCAGTCCTAACAACAATCAGCCCGACACACAGGCTTGGCAACCACAGGACTTAGACAAGAATCGATCAGGACAAAATCCTAGAAACCACCCAACATCATTATTCTGTTTTTAAAATATATGCATAGTTAAGAACAACCAGATGCAACTATACAGAGATATGAACTGCAGAAACAGACTTCCTTAACAGGTATATACAGAACAACAAATCACAACAGAAACAGAGAGATGAGCTACAAAGTCTGATACATACTAACAGTTCAGACTTTTTCAAGAGACGAAATCAACTCACCAGCACACAAAGGCATCAATTTTCCAAGAGTGCTTTCACACTTAATGTTTTGCAAGAAGGCTACAATTTCTCAAAGAGACTTTCACACTTTGTGATTCACCAAAGCTAGACTTTCACATCATCATATGTCTTCAGAATATTCCAAGAACATATTCAAAAAGAAAGAAGAAAGACCAGTCCTAACCAAGGAGCCTGAAAGGCAAAAGCCAACTGATAGGCTAGAAACCCCTGAATGACTCAAGCAAGAGCCTTTTGAATGAAAACGATTTGAGGGTTTTGAGAATATAATTTTTGATCTCCCCCATTTTTTTATGTTTTCTTTTGATTTCCTTTTCTTTTGAGATGAATTTCTTTCTTTGGAATAACTATTTCAACCCTTTTTGGTGTCAACTACCCAACATAGCCACATCAAAAACAATGTGATGGACAGAATAGAAGAAAATTCCATAGAGACAAAGAATGATCTGAATACTTATGATGAGCAGCTATTTTCAGTGATGAACTGGCTGATGAGAGGTTTAACTGGTAATTTGTACAATGATTAAAACAAGAACTGCTAATATGTACCTTACTATGCACACTCACAACCTGAACAGCTATGATAAGAGTTCACAAATT